AATGGCTCTCTTGTAGTAATCTCAATTCCATCGTATGTCCATAATGTTAGTGATGCTTCACCCTTTAGACCCAAGGAAAACCAACCCAATCCAGCGTCTTTTTTGGCGCCATTGCTTTTCCTGACTGAGAAGGATTCAAGTTCCGGTATAAGCGTGTACGGGGAAACGGGGTAAAACATACTTTAGCCCTTTATCTTAATAAATTTGTAGATTTTAACCCCTCTTTTTATACTCTAACACATTTAACCCTTTACCTTAATAAATTTGTAGATTTTAGCCATTCACTTTATGTTATGACATTTTTAACCCTTCACTTGTATAAATTGAAAAAAATAACTCTTATTTAAGATCAGGTTATAACGTTTTATTAGTTGACTGTTAATTTTGTTAATTGACTCTTAGCATTCCGTTAACATTTCGTTAACGAAACTAACAAATAAAATTAAATTTAAATTCAATTTAAATTTCATATTTTTTATAATGGAATATTAATGGATACTAACAATCAGTTAACAGAGTTAACAATCAATTAACAAAACTAACAAAACATTATAACATGATATTAAGTGAGAGCCATTTTCTTCAATTTGTATAAGTAAGGAGTTAAAAGTGTCATAATATAAGATCATGGGCTAAACTTATAAACTTATTAACATAAAAGGTTAAAGTATCATAATATAAGATGAGATACTAAAACCTATAAATTTATAAAAGGTTAAAGTATCATAATATAAGATGAGATACTAAAACCTATAAATTTATTAGGATAAAAAGCTAAAAATAAATTTTTACCAAAAAAACAGAGGATAGGATCTCCAACTCCTCCGGATAAATTTACTCTGAAAAATATATGGATAAATTATTATTTTAAATTATTTATGAGAAATGATTTTTGTACAACTTTTTTGTCCCTTTTTTTTTTATAATCTGACGTGTCATTAAAACAATTGGTTCTTTTAATTCATCTGAGACTTGTAATATTGAAAGCATTCACTCATTTAATGACATGTGAAAATTGTATAAAAATGTAATATAAAAA